CCAAGACAACATGCATTTACGCGTGTGCTCTTTTGTTGCTGTACTGTTTTGTCGCGTGCTGTTTTGGCGCGCGATCTTCTGTCGCTCTGTTGTCTGGACGCCGTGCGGTTTTGTCGCGTGCTGTTTTGACGCGTGCTGTTTTGTCGCTGTGCTCTTTTGACGCGGTACTCTTTTGACGCGGGGCTGTTTTGACGCGGTGCTCTTTCGACGTGAGCTGATTTGTCGCGTGCTGTTTTGTCGCGTGCTTTTGTCGTGTGCTGTCCTGTTGTGGTGCCATTTTCTGACATATTCAGCGGAATAGAACATATTCAAGGAGATATCAAAATTCTAATTTATTTGGGTTATATGATACATGGGCGATTACAGTACTCGGGAACATTACGATCTTTTGTTGAGAAAAGCAGAAATTTATAATTTTGTGAATGTGGCCTATAGGTAGGGTTCCGTGTTTTCGGATAAATTCGGAAAACTCCGGTAAGCTTTTGGTCAATTCGGGTTTATCCGATAAACTCCGAATTTCAATGTCCCCATCCCCCCCCCCCCCCCTCGGCCCCGCCCCCTGCCACACATACAGACACATACAAACAAATTTAAAATTAATGGTTTGATCAGCGCGTAGAGTCAATAATCCTAGTAAAATGCCACCACACTTTTGTTTCGAATTTCGGTCAAGACAACAGGTCATTGTACTTTCGGGTCACGACAATAGTCACTGTTTACGTTTCCAGTTTGGGTCATACTATTTGTGCTTTAGAGGAAGGAGAGGTTGTGTTTTTGTAACAGTGAAAGCTATGCACCATAGAGATTGCATAAACTGGTAAAGAGGAACATTTGAAACTTCTCTATTACATCCTTTACCACACTACCTCGCGCGGCCGCGCGGTAGGCTCATGGAATAGTATGGAATCAATACAAGCTTCCCAGCGACTACCTACCTCCCGGAGTTTATTGAATTTAAGGTATCGACATTTACCGAAGAAACACTTGTGTGCAACATTTGTTGTAGGACAAATTAGTATTGCCAGTAGTAATGACACCAACGCCAAATACAACTGAAGAAAATATTAATTGCTACAATCGCGTTTTTTTTTTGTCTTTTGTTTTTTGTCCAGCATACGTTGTGGGTATTCAAGAAGCAGCAACCGCCTTCGATGGTGTCCAGGCTCGTTCTGCCACACGCGCTCATCCCCGAGCACCGGCTAGCACGACGATCTTTATTATTTTCTATGCCGACATCACCCCCCGAGCATAGAAAATAAGCGTGGGACAAGGCTCGTTGCACATAACCCCCCAGAGGGGGGGGGGGGGGGGGGGGGTGCTGTGCAACGAGCCTTGGACTCATGCTCCCCCCCCCCCCGAGTGAGTTCAAGGATCTTTGCACATCACCACAGTGTACACCGCTCCGCCGAAACGGCTGAAGTAGTTCATCAGGGCATAATGCGTCCTGTCCTTTGCAAGAGCCCTGCGTAGTCGCCTTACACATCCAGCTTTTTACACTAACTGCTTCTGTCTCGGAGGATCGACCACTTCCAACCCAGACGGCAAGAAGGTCAACTATTCTTCGTCCCAAGTCAATCACCACTCACTGTCGCAGCCTCACGAATAAACAGTCGCACAAGTCCTCATGAATATCACCGCAGTGCGCCAGGTCCATCGAGGACTGGTCCCACTCCAGTGTTCATTCAGCCTTGCATAAGACGCGTCCGGTCATGAAAAAAAAACAGACGACCGTCGCGCAACTTGTTGTCCTCGGCGGAACTGTCCTCGTCGTCCCTGTGGTTCGGCGATGAGCCCGGGCCCATGTCTCGGCACAGCTGGCCGGGGGGACCTGAGTCCGCGCAGGGCCCCGACGCGGGTCCAGGGAGAGCGGCGAAGAAGCCCGGAGGACACAGGAAATGTCCGAAGGCGTGACTCGGGCACAGGTAGTGGGGAGACCACAGCCCCTGGCGTTGGGCGAGCTTCATTCGCGCTGTCATCTGCTTCTTCCGTGTTCCGTGGTACCAACGCTGTGTCCACGTGTCGACGCGCCAACGCTGTGCTGAGGACGTGTGTGGAGATGTGGTCGGGGAGGCGGGTCTGACTAGTCGGGTAACGTTGTCGGAAGGAGGGGTGCGCAGAGGGGACCTGTTCTTTGTTTCATTCATGTCGCTTTGCCGGAAATCTGGTGGACTATCCTTGGCTTCTGTGATCCTCGGCTCAATATCAGTAACCTGGACTGAACTTGCCGAAGTCTGTTTCACTTCTTCGACGCTCGTTTCTGGCGGATTTTTGTATTCCAATTCGAAGCGAGCTGCAGGAACGTCAAAGGGAGTTGGTCTTGGCATCATCACCGCCACATGAAGAGCTTCAAGTACGAATGGTATTGCGGTGTGTCTTCTTTGCTGTAGGTCCCCGTACCAGGCGTTCCATCGAACCGCAGACCGCTTGGACACTTCTTTGATGAACATCCACAGCGCGATGAGAATGGGAAAGATACAATGGCACATGATGCAGTAGAACTGCACGAATGCCGTGATGACTTCAATCCAGGATATTCCAGTGAGTCGTGCCGTCACCTTTCCAGGGGACTGGGCCCCCATTAGCGAAGCGTCGCTGTCCATGTTGTGAGATTTCAGCTAAAGCGGGAACGGGAGTGCCGCGTTGCCCGATGCTGGGCCCGGGACGGCCGGTGGAGTCCGCCCTGGATTCTGGACTCGCCCCCTCGAGAGGGACCTCATGGCGTGAGCAAGACGCGATGTGGGTTCGACGCAGTTCGGGCTCTCGGTACCTAAGCTGCGCCGGGACGAGCTCGTCCCCGAGCACCGGCTAGCCCCGCGCGCCCGACGATGATCTTTATTCTTTTCTATGCCGACAACGTTTACACCCGGACATTACATATTCATTTTTAATAGAGAGTTTTAGTAGATCGTTCCCATGACTCCGATAACGATATCCGGATACCCCGCCACCGCCTCCCTTGCGCATGCATAGTATCGTTATCGGGGCTATCGGAGGTATCGGAACGATCTACTAAAACTCTCTATTAAGAGACACTGCAAAATTAAACTCAGAATATCGGAGAATTTGGAATTAAACAAAAATAAACTCCGATAAACTCCGAATTTTCGGCAAAAAGTAAACTCTGAGAAACACCTTCCAAATTTGACGAAAAATAAACTCCGAAAACATGGAACCTTAGCTATAGCAATCAACGCGAAGAAACTGCAACGCCGTGGAATTAAGACCATACGCGTCCAAAAGTTTAATGACTGTGTGTTAATATTTTATGACTGTCATCTAAAATGTTCCCGGTGAACATTGCGATGATATTTGCTCCTGCTCAGTTGAAATTTTTATTTTAGTGCATTTAGCAAAGCGTTGATGTCCAAGAAAGTTGGGGATGCGAAACGATAGAACTCCGCTTTATTTACTACAGTGATGCCTTCTTCTTCTGGGACGTTCTTCAACGAACACTAAAAGAGACCTCGACATCACAGACCAAAATATTCGCTTCCTTCCTTTTCTTTAAGGATAAAATTATTTCTTGCGACTTATTCGTGCTTGTAGGCCTCCACAGCTTGTGAAAATGCAGAATGGTTGATCGAAATTCTGAACCACCTGTACAACCGAGTCACTTTGTATGGAACGAATGGCTCAACTACGCAGCGTTTACGCGGCAGAAGCTGTACAGTCTGACTGGTTTCTACTGCTGGACGCAAGTACATGACTACCAGATTTTTTGTGCTTCGTTTTGTCTGTGCGTGTTTTTTTGTTTTGTTTTGTTTTTTTCTTTGGGGGCCTTACATTTTACGTTTTCATTTTTTCTATCAATAAAGATGTCTCATCGACGGAAATAAGAGGAATGTAGGAACTTCAATTTTGACGGTGTTGGCAGTGCTATTTTGAGAGCGCTATGATTTCAGGCTTCCGCCATGCCCATTACAAACACCATCCAACTTGTTGTTCACAAGGTGATGACGTCACGAAAGGTAACCGAACGAGGGCGCCACCGAAACATCTCGCCGCTAATACCACGACCGGCGTGGCTAATACTGTCGGACAGCTATTTCAGAAGTGAAGAGTGCGCGTGCACTAGTTTGAGGGGTGCTCAAGATGCTCAAGCGCACGTGCGCTCATAGCTTTGACTACATAGCCGCAGAATGATGTATTGTGTGATAACTGTGGCTTAGCGTAACTGCAGTTAAGTGTGCCCAAGGAACAAAGGTATAATCGTTCCGCAATATTACGAAATTAACCTATTACTTTTAGTGGCACTGAAGGTTGCAATTAGGTTTCCAAACTTTATCAAGAGCCCACTTTATCGGTTCAGCTCATGTGCTCATATGTGAAGTCATCTTCAAAGAGACACTCAGTGATTCGCATAAATCAAACCCTTTCTACGCAGCACTGCTTGGCTAAGTTGCTGACATATTGTATATTAGCGGCGAGAAGTTATGGTGGCGCCCTCCTACGGTTCCCCCTTGTGACGTCATTACTTTGCAAACAACAAGTTCGATGGGGTTTGTAAATAGCGTGGTGGAAGCTTGAAATCATTGCGCTCTCAAAGGAACACTTCCCACACCGTCAATATTAAAGTTCTTTCATTCCTCTTATTTCCGTCGATGATATACCCTTTGCGACGTCATAAGTCAGCGTTCGGCCAATCGTGGAAGGCCGACCACAGCGACGCTTTCGGTCGCGCTCGTCGCCAATTGCTCAGACAACGCCGCACCGCACACGTTGCAACTTTTTTACATTCAACGCTGCATATGACGTTCTACTTCATCCCTTCTCTACGTTGACCCCGAAAAATGTATTGTTTATTCACCATACTGACTAAGCAATCGTAATTCATCACGTCGCTCTTTCAAACAATGATTATCGCAGCTAAGTGCTATCATCGAATGCATGTTAAGAATGCACCAAATACACACCACCAAGTACAAGCTGCGGCAACGAATCCCTTTGCGGACCAGCCATGAAGGCAGTAGCTATGATAGGGTATGTGACGTCAACGCGACGTTTTTCTGGCTGCGGCTTGGCAGCGGACTATTTTTGCGTCGCGGTGGAACAGTGACTGGCGGTAATGCGAGTGTGGGAGGAACTTCTGGCGCAATCTTAACTTGAACCCGACTATTCAAAAGAGACCCACGCAGGAAACACCCCGTGTATTTTATCCTGGCTTTGGTAGACTGCAGTCGCAGGTCTGTATTCGACGCTTACTTTCGGGTTACCCATCTCATTGCAAACAGTGTTCGGCTTGGAAGTTTAGAAGCACCTTCGACAATGAACTATTTTAAAGTTTATTCTTCAGATGAGGATTTCGTTTACGCTGTCATTATGATATATATGTTGTTGTCGTTGTTGTTTTGTCGATATCTCATGTTTAAATTGACTCCCAGATTCCCTGTCTCTGAATGCCTCAGTTTTACGCGTCACTTCAAGATACTCGAGGCAGGGGTGGGACCAATTCAAAATGCACTCTCATAGTCGCTCCCATTTTCGCACAATTGAAGTAAGTAAACGTCGTCCTGAAAAGTGTGCGTGTGCCTGTGCTTGTCTAGCGTACCCACGCGCACACAACTTTTTTTTATGACTAGATGCGACGCGTACGTTTTTGTCGTCGTGGCGTTTTTGAACGCATTGAAATTCGCATGTTAGCCTGCCAAGGTCACTTTCAATTCTTTGTACGTCAATTGCAGGCTCTTCACTGAAGAGTGCTCCGTGGTAGTGTGAACACCCAAGAGTAATGGAGCCATTTGAAATACAAATACGCGGAGCGAGGTCTGCCTGGAGCAGCATCTGGAGTGTACCCCGCAACCGGTGCTACATCGTCGTCTCCATTATTGGTGCCCTTCTGCTCTTCACGCTAGTGCCGCTCATAGTGGAATTAGCGAGGAAGCACATCCCGCCCTCAAACTACATCCCAGCGGAACTGCACCAGTGGAAGACATGGCGGGAGCGACCTCAAGGTAAGGAGCTTGCCGCCCCTCGGATTCTGATTTGGTTCAGCCCTGACTTTCACCGGCCGGAAGAAACTCGCCTCCTCGTCAAGGGCCAGCTTCCCACACGCTGGTGTCCTCAGAAGCCAGGGCGTCGGCTTTGCTACGTCACCAAAGATCACTCGTACCTGGAAACAAGTGACGTGCTCGTATTCGCAGCCAGTAACATGGATGAGCACAGCTTGCCGCATTCCCGCCACCAGCTGCAACCGTGGGTCTTCTGGACGCGAGATCGTGCGCCACTCAACTTGCCGCCTGCCTTGGATCTCGTCTCATCTCAGTTCAACTGGACCATGAGCTACCGGGCCGACAGCGACATAGTACTTCCGTACATGAGTTTTACTAGCAAGCAGGTTTCGTCCGTCCCCGCAGACTTCCAGGCCCTGTGGAAACAAAAGAGTCGCCTTGCCGTGTGGCTCCTGAGTGACTGCGAACCGGCCTTGAGGGTAGACGACAACATCGTCGACAAGAGCAGCAGCAGCGAGGATTACACCAAGGAGGTAATCAAGGCGGTCGAGACCCATGTGTACAGGAAGTGCGGAGCAGACCATTGTGGCGTCTGGGACGGGTGCCTGAGCAGTCTGCAGCACGAGTTTCACTTTCTTTTTGTCATGGAAAGCTCCGCATGCTTCGAAGATCCAACCGAGATTATCTACGATGCGTTCAAGTACGATATCCTTCCCGTGTATTTTGGCCGGCGGGACATCAGCGCCCGCCTGCCGCCGAACTCCTTCTACGACACGACTAATGCTGCTAGCGCCTTCGAAATCATCGATGCGCTCCTTCACATCTCCAAGAACTTCGATCGCTACAACAGCTACATGGCGTGGAAGGCCCGGTACGAACTAGTGCCAGCAGAAGACGACCTCTGCCTCCTGTGCGACCGCATGCACCAGAAGATCGAGCAGCACGTTATGCAGCCCAATATTGTCGGCTGGTGGAAATCACGCAGGGATTGTTCTGCAGCTCCCGATGTCCTCACTCATGACGTTGATATCGATAATGTTGGGTCATAACTGCCTTCATTACACTTCCTTTGCTCTTCGTGCGTAATCCTTCGTCTTTTTCTGTGTCGGTGTATTTTATCGAATGTGTTCTTCAATAAAGTATTTTCGAAGTCGGACATCGTTCTTCCTGGTCAACGAGTGGCTGGACGCCCTCGACTGCCTTGACTCCAGTGATTTGTCGCTAACTCGAAAAACTGCGAGTTGTCTTTTTTTTTTTTTTTTTTTGGTTATATAACTTTTTTCGAGACATTTGGTGGGGAGAGGGTATTACGCTTGCCCCTTTCACTGAGGCGTTTTAATGTTTCTTTTATTTTTTTAACTCTAACGTGCGGTTATCGTCTAGCGAGTTGCACACTGTGCTGAGTAAAGACTGCTGCTAGGTTACAGGCGTGTTTTAAGGCCTGCGTTGTGCCTGGGAGACTGCACCCCCGACTTTATGATCATGTCACGGAACTGTCGTTTCGACTATGACGTCTATAGATCCTGGCGTGGTAACTTTAAACGCCGATTTTATAAGTCGGGGTTACAAAATCCCTTCATGTCGCTCCGTGTCCAGATGTAGACGACACTACGAGCTGATGGTACCAATCAAAGCGTCAAAAGCGCACCATCATGGTGTCCATGCTATAAGTGTTCTATCATCGCTAAACGAATCCTAAACAAAAAAAGCCTAATAACTTGCGCTGTTGACGCTGCTTGATTGCTCCCGTTACCTCGTAGTTTCGGCTGCGTCTGAACTTAAGCTGAAACGAAGTATAGCGACGCTTCAGGAGCACAGATAGAACTTAGCACGTAAATTCAGCCATCTGCATCGAAACGTCGTAAAAAAAAAAAAAAAAAAAAAAAAAAAAAAAAGGTTATTAGAAGGCGCGTTCTACAGACGTTACATAAACGCCCGCTATGGGACGTAATTCCGATAATCCTAATAACTTGCTTCTATATTTTCCACTAACGCTTATAAAATTAGGGCTCCGTGTTTTCGGAGTTTATTTTTCGTCAAATTCGGAGGGTGTTTTTCGGAGTTTATTTTTTGCGGAGGATTCGGAGTTTATCGGCGTTTATATTTTTTTATTCCCAATTCTCCGAAATTTGGAGTTTAATTTCGCTGTGTTTCCTATTAAAATAAATAAATAAATAATAACCGAATGTAAACGTATTCCAGATAAAAAAAAAGAAGACGCGCTTGTATCAATTGAAATATTTTCAGTTGAATTTGGCGTTGGTGCCATTGCCATTGGCAATACTAATTTATCCATCGGATTTAAAAACAGCTCGAAAAGACGAGGACCAGACAAAAAGTTACACAGACGTAGCGCTGTTTATCCACGACAAAAGTCACACACAAGTGGCACTTTGATAAACGCCGATGCCTTAAAATCAATAAACTCCCGGAGGTAGTCGCTAGGAAGCTCGTAGTCATCCCACCCTATTCCATCAACCTAGCCCGTGGCCGCGTGAGGTGGAGTGGTTAAGGAGGTAATAGAGAGTTTGAACTGCCCCTCTTCCCAATTTTATACAATCCCTATGGTCCATAGCTTTCACTGTTACCAATACATACCCTTTCCTTTCTCTAAATCACAAATCGCATGGCCCAAACCGGAAACCAAAACAGTGGCTTTTGTCGTGACACGAATGTACAACGAACGACCTGTTGCTCTGAATCAACCTTGAAGAGACAAGCGGCAAGACCCCTGTTGACAACGGTCCGAGTTTTGAAAGATAATTATGGTGGAATTTTCCCAGGACCATTGACTCTGTGCTGATCAAACTGTAAAAAAAAAAAAAAAAAAAAAAAAAAAAAAACATTGACACATAAACATTTGGAGTTTATCGGATAAATCCGAATTGACCAAAATTTTACCGGCGGGTGTTTTTCTGTTTTTCGGAGTTTTTCGGATTTATCCGAAAACACGCAGCCCTACTTATAATCAAGTAAAGTGCTAGTGCACACTCAATACATACCTTCCTTTATTAGGGGAGTTCAGATTTTCCGGATGAATACCGTCTTTCTGAAACTCATCTTCCTTTTTCTATTTCAGTTTTACACCTACGTAAAACCTTACCGACCGCATCTGTGCCGTTTGACATTTCCATAACGTATCAGCAACAGTAAGAAAATGAAAGGACGTATAAATAGTTGGTTTGGTAAAAAATAGAGCACGAACTGTGTTTGTTTGTCTGTTTGCTTTCTAGTGCCCCCTAAGTTCCGTGATCCAAAGAAAAGGAATCCTCAGTGCCCGTGCTTGATTTCTTCCCGCGTTTCTAGCGACGATAAACGACTCCAGTGTCATGCTGGCCGAGCGACATTTTCCGTCGGTCGGTGCGTGCGAGGCCACCAAACTCCCAATAAACAAGCTCTCTTCATGCGACTGTAGAAAACTGCTCTGTATCGGCGCGCATTTATAAATAGGCTTCTGTAGAAAGACCAGCCCGTGCAACGCTTCCATCTTCGAGTGTAGCAAGACTCCGCGGATGCTCTTCGACATAAAAGTGGCTCGCAAAGTTCCTACATAAAAGGCATACTTTGTGCTTCCCGGAAGTACAACCGTTTTCTTTGAAACACCGATTGCGTGACGGTGCAGGTTTTAGGAAGCAAATGGTGACGCACAGCGGCAGAATTAACCGAAAGACGCCATTATGTTCTTGACAAATATGCTTCGTAATTGCTGTTGGTTGTCGTTACTTGTAAAAGAATGTATCAATGGACTTTATTGGCTGGGGCTATACACCGTACACCACTCGGTAGCATTCGGCGTGAACTGCCGAAGTAATCGGTCTCACGCGTGTGCCCCACCTTTCGTCTCACTCACGCCAGCGTGCGTGCAAATGTGTCGCGAGATCAAGTCAGACGCTCGTTCCACCATATTTGTTCGTATTATTGGTATACTTCGTCTCACCTTAGCATAGACTAACTGCGAAAGCTGTACAAGCGCGGGCGACTCTTCTTGACTTCCTTGACTGGAGCATTCGCTGCACGAGCGCTCGTGCAGCTGCCGAGGCTTGATGCAAAGCAACTAGCTCGCGGTTTTAGCATGCGCGGCTAACAATAGTCCATGCTAAGATGAGACAAAGAATAGGGAGTATTCACTGGACGCCATACTTGAGGGCGATGTTTAGAGCGCATGCTCGGAACAAGCTCACGTTAATAGGCTGCTAAGACGGGCAATCTTGGTGGTGCAGAATGCACTTGGCGAAAGAACTGTGGAAGCTCGCCGTCAGCACGCGCTCAGCAGTCGCGCACACAGCTATGGCCGCCAGTGAATACTTCCTATTAGCGATGTGCGCGACCAATAGCGTCGCTGCGGTCAGCTTTCCACGATTGGCCAAACCATGTGCATATGAGCACTGTCAGATTGTCAACTTTGACGGTGTTAGTTTCGGATTGCGATGGCCCCTAGCTTCCACTGTGCTTTTTAAACACACCACCGAACTCGTCCTCGCACTTGATGGTAAGTAGCCAGGATAGGAACTGGTGACGTCACGGCGAGGCCAATCCCAGTCGTGACGTCACGGATGGAAACCATAAAAGGACGCCACCGAAACATCTCGGCGCTAATGGCGTAATTTTTTTTTTTTTTCCCAGCATTGGTGATTTTTAGGATTTACGATAACACTCGAGCGTTTGCTAATAGCCTTACAATATCTGATCAGAGGATTGAGGGAGGTTATCGCGTTTGGGTAAACTGCTCTTTCAATTGCTTTTTTTTTTTTTTTTTTGAATCTGTGGGGGGAGAAGTGCAAAGCAATTGCTGAGGAAAACGTGCAGACTTTGCCGTTTTGGAATGAAACAGAGAGCTAGATGGATTGGGGGGGGGGGGGGGGGGGGGGGTGTTGCCTCGCGTCAGTATTTCGCTCACGTAACGTCTAATATTGCCGCGACAATTTCTACATTTTTTTAGGCGTGGCGTTTATCGGGAGAACTATAAATATGTTTCTTGGACAAACGGACGTTTTGCACGGCAATCAAGCATAGAAGGTCATTCCTTCTATGCCATCCACTGCCAGAACAAGAGCGCTCACATAGTCAAAAACAAAAACGTGAATGCTTTCACCATAGAGAGTGGTAAGCGCTTAGCTCTGCGCGTGGATGTTAATGTCGCGAATGCCGCGCGCTACGTTTATCTCGTGGCTTGAATTGGGAACGGCGTGTGTTCCCAATTCACGTGGAACGGCGAGTACGGTCCTGCTAGACCGTACTCGTTTCGGGCTTGACCTTCGCTGGAAGGGTCGGAAACCGGGTAATTACTGGCTCTTTCAAGGTGTCTCCAATACCCCGGAGTGTTCATTTTCGACGTGTACCGAGCCACTTGGACTTTCACTACGTTTCGTTCGAGCGTAAGACGCTGCCGCGAGGTTATGGGACCAATCAAGCAGCGCCAGAAACGCAAGTCATTCGGCCTTTTCTGTTTGATTAGTGGAGCGATGATAGAACACGTATGTACGCGCATAAACATGACGGACACCACGATATTGCGCATTTGACGCTGTCTGATCGGTCCCATCAGCTCGTAGCGTTGGCAGCATCTGTACTCGAGGTAAAACAAAGTATAAAGGGTGGTTCAGTCAGTTGCGTTTGACTGCGTTTGACTGCGTTAAGACTGCCTGCGTGGAGCTGTTGCTAAGGCGATCCTTACGACGACCCTATGGGAAGGCGCTGTGCTGTACGACGCAACGCAGCGCAACGCGGTCGACGCAAAAATGTGAACGAGCCGTTCACGGTTCCGTGACACGCAGCAGGAAGCCTGTACGCCAAATATACGAGAAAAAAGGCAAAAGTTGGATCACTTCTGTCCAATCGGCCTACAAACAGTCGCTGAGGGGTGCGTGCGTGCGTGCGCGTGTATGGGTGCAGGCGTGCTTGCGCGTGTGCGCGTGTGTGTGTGTGTGTGTGCGTGTACACAGGCGCGTATGTGCGTGTGCGAGCGTGCGCGTGCGGTCGTGCGCGTCTGTGTGCATGCGCGTGTGCATGTGTGCGTGCGCGTGTATGTGCGGGCGTGCGCGCACGCACGCGTGTGTATGTGCGTGAGTGGTGTGGTGTGCGTCCCTTAGCAAAAAGAAGTCGTACTTGAAACGAAGTTGAAATATATTGAATATGAATATTCATTTTTTATTCATT